GTTGTTCTTCAGGACTTCTTCAAGAAGTTCCTCTATGAACCTCTGCCTGTAGAATCTCACCTGGACCACTGCCTTCATGACCATTTCAATGCTGAGATTGTTACTAAGACGGTGGAAAACAAACAGGATGCTGTGGACTACCTGACATGGACCTTCCTGTACCGCAGAATGACCCAGAATCCCAACTACTACAATCTGCAGGGTGATGAAGCACAGAAGCCTGCACATCTTTACTAAATCTAGAGACTTTATGCTGCAGGTTTGACTGTTTGTGACTCATGTAAAAATATATATATATTTTTTTGCATTTGAATTTGCAGGTATGTCTCATCGTCACCTGTCAGATCATCTGTCTGAGCTGGTGGAAAACACCTTGCAGGATCTGGAACAATCCAAGTGCATCAGCATCGAGGATGAGATGGACGTGGCACCTCTGAATCTGGGCATGATCGCAGCCTACTATTACATCAACTACACCACTATTGGTGAGGACTCTCTCTGTTTAACACTTCATTTACAATAGAACAGAAGCCATGGTTGATCTTTTTTCTGTATTCTGCTTTATATATGTGTGAAACAAATTAATTGGGAAAATGTATTCTGGCATTTGGTTCTGGATGTTTTTTTGTTTTGTTTTTTGGATGAAAGTAGATCTGAATTAAATATAAAAAGAGGCTGCATTTAGTTTCAACATTATATAACAGAGTTCCCACTGGTCAGCTGTGAACAGTCAGACTACTTGTGCTTCAAACCAACATGTTTAAGATGATACATTATAATTAAAGTAATATGATGAAAACTGCAGTTGACAACATTAAGCAGCTGAACTAGCTGTTTTGTATGGCTAAATAATAAATGGAAGTGAATTAGACTGTAGGTCTTGACAAATTTAAATTACAATAGCCTCCCACCTCTTGTTTTGAAAATAAAGATGTATAGGTCATGAAAATACAGCTTTTTATTCAGTGAAAAATCAGGAAATTTGACAATTTATCCTAAAAAAAACATGCATGTCATGCAAATAATTTAAACACCATGATGGAAAAATTGTGATGTCCTAAAATTTTATTTTATCCATTTAATTATTTATTTATTTATTTATTTATTTTAACCAAAACTTAAACTAACATTTAAGTTTCATTTTCCAAAAGCCAAAACTGTAAAAATTAGTTCATCTAAAATATTTAATAATCAACATAAAAAAAGAACAATTTGAGTCATTTAAATGGTCATTCTAACATGCCATGTTTTTATTTTCAGATTCTGGTTAATATGTTCAGTTTTTGAAATTTTAAGATGATTCATTTGCTTCTTGATTTTCTCATCCTGTCCGTGTCCTCTGATTCAGCTATCCTGTGTTTGTATTCTCTCCAGAGCTGTTCAGTATGTCTCTGAATGCCAAGACAAAGGTGCGTGGCCTCATCGAGATCATCTCCAACGCTGCAGAGTATAAAAACATTCCCATCAGGCACCACGAAGACACCCTGCTACGACAGGTGAGAAAAATGCACCTTTAATACAAATTCTACAACAAAACATAATCAGAGCGCTTAATCCTCTCTTTGATTTTTACAGCTGGCTCAGAAAGTCCCTCACAAACTGAACAACCCTAAATTCAACGACCCTCACGTCAAGACCAACCTGCTGCTCCAGGCTCACCTGTCCCGCATGCAGCTGAGTGCAGAGCTGCAGTCTGACACCGAGGAGATCCTCAGCAAGGTCTTAATCATATTTTCACATGCTTTTTTCTGTTATCCAGTTACAAGTGTTCAGCCAAGGCCTAAAATGTTTTCTCTTTAGGCAACATAAAAGTTGAAACACTGCAATTTACAGCAGCCATGACGCTTCAGTGTTGCATGATTTAATATACCAGCATTGCACTAGTGTCACAGAATCCTTCAGAAAGGATATTTGCTGCTCATTTATTGTTGTTGTTGCTCAGTCATAATAGGGATAATGTTATTTTTATCAATGATAAACAAACATGACTGCTGCTTATCTTTGAATAGGAAGTTCAAAACAACAAAATTAGTTTGAAGTTTGATTAATAACTTTCGGTAACATAATAAATATCTGTGCTGTCACTTTTCATCGGTTTAATGCAGCGATGCTAAAAAGTAAATTAATAAAAAAAATTCTTGCCCCAAACCTTTGAAAGTATACCACTATTTTCACATCAGTAACAGAAAAAGAAGAAACAAAAAAAATGTAGAACATATTAGACATCTTAAAAAAAACTAAAGATTTTTGTTTATTTCAAACATTTGACCAGAAATCTTTATTTTTATCAGACCAAAGATACCATATAGTTTTATACAGTCAGGGTGCACATAAGAGGTCTGTATGCACAAAATAAATTACGTTTGGCAATCAAATATGGCACTAGAGAAGTGCTTTTGCAAACCACTTTAAGTAATGTAAAAATCAGTAATTGTATATTTGTAATATAAATAAATATGTTAACTTCCGACCGCAGAAGCCTTCTAGCTGCTCTTCATCTCAAACACAGTCATCTTCCCCCCGCACATCATCTCAAACACCATCATTCCTTTTTTTTTTGTTATGTTGACGTTCATATATTCAGTGTTTCTAAAGTTCTGGTGTTTGTCTTCAGGCGGTGCGTCTGATCCAGGCGTGTGTGGACGTGCTCTCCAGTAACGGCTGGTTGAGTCCTGCACTGGCTGCTATGGAGTTGGCACAGATGGTCACGCAAGCCATGTGGTCCAAAGACTCGTACCTCAGACAGCTGCCACACTTCACCTCTGAACTCATCAAGCGCTGCACAGACAAGGTGAGAAGCACTTTTGATCATCACAACACCCTTTTAGTAAACTCTTTACAGAGATAATTCATCTAAAAAATCTAAAAGTCTGTGTCATTTACTCACCCTCATGTGGTTCTAATTTTTTTTCTTCTTTTTTTACACAAACAAGATACACTCAAAAAAATGACTTTTTCTGCTTGTTCAGATTACTTATTTAAAATGAATCGATTTGAGTTGGGACAACAAGAACTTGTTTAGAACCATACCTGTCAACATTGGGATGTGAAAATAAGGGATATGCCCTCAATAATAAGGTATACCCTCCTTCCTTAAAGTCCCTAAATACATAAAATATGTTCATCTGTTGCTGTTTTAATGTAAATTAACATTTAAATTGGTATATTTTATTATTATTATTTACAAAATAAATAGTTTGCATTAACAGCAAATAAATTAACAAACATCTTATTAAAATTAATAGCTATCATAAATAAATAAAATCAAGTTATAAAATCTCAATCTTTTGTTGACTGTATAACTTACTTATTCTGATAATAGAGCACTGAATGAATCTCATTTATTTAGATTTTTTGTTTGATTACATCAATTAACAGAGGTGTCACTGTAAAAATGCACACATCTAACATTAAAATGAAAGCATTCGATTACTTGCTTTATATGCTCATTTAGGACAAAATGAATTGTAATTGAAAAGAAAACCCCACCATCATCGACATTATTGGATGTTATTATTATTATGTGTATATATCTGTTCAAACACGCACTCAAAACCCAGACTTTTGCCCCGCTTCAAACCGCGTGTACAGAATCTGTTTGCGAAACATTGTCTCTTTTTCACTAGGAAGCATGTCAGTTGACAGTCACACACTGCTATATGAATGTTTTGAGGGTGCATAGGAGATAGGATGGCCCCTGTAATGAAAAGGAAAGGGAATCCCGCTGTTTTTATATTTATTTCAGTGTTTGCATGCCTAAATAAGATGAAAGCACAGGAGAGTCACATTTAAGAGCAAAGCGCCACCCCTGGTGGTTTGGCGGTATGGTTTTGTGTGACTGTCTATGTTTTGTTGATGTGTGTGTGTGTCTGTAGGGTGTGGAGAGTATCTTTGATATCATGGAGATGGAGGATGAGGATCGCACTGGACTCCTTCAGCTCTCGGATGTCCAGGTGGCAGATGTGGCTCGTTTCTGTAACCGATACCCCAACATTGAGCTCTCGTATGAAGTGGTTGACAAAGACGACATCAAGAGGTGAAAACTCTTTCTTTTGAAGATGCTTAATATAGTGTGGTTGTACGAAACACAGAATTTTTTCCATAATCAGCTGGAGGTGTGAATGAGTGGTCTTGTGTTTGCAGTGGGAGTCCAGTGGTGGTGCAGGTGCAGCTGGAGAGAGAAGAGGAGGTCACAGGCCCCGTCATCGCCCCTCTCTTCCCTCAGGTCAGTGTCTGTCGGGATATTGAACTAATTATGAACAATACAGCATTTAATAATCATAGTTTAACATTTACTAATGCATTATCAACATCCAAACTCATGCTTGTTAACATTAGTTAATGCACCATGAGTTAACATCAACTAAAAATAAACAACCATTTTTTCGTTAACAAACAATGAACATTGCACTTATAACAGTATTTGTTCATGTTAATAAATGCATTAATTAACACAACCTTATTGTAAAGTGTTGCCCAATGAACATGAGTTAAATAATATCTTGTCCGTTTGTGCAGAAACGTGAAGAAGGCTGGTGGGTCGTAATCGGTGACCCCAAATCAAACAGTTTGATCTCAATCAAGAGGTTAACTCTGCAGCAGAAGGCCAAGGTCAGTCCTGCTCCTCTATCCAAAAGCAGCAGAATATACATTCTCACACGTTATTTTAGAATTTCTAAATGTACCATTTAAAACTTTCTTCAACTACAGCGTGCTCTCTCTCTCTCCACAGGTGAAGCTGGACTTTGTGGCTCCTGTGGTCGGTGTGCACAACTACACCCTGTACTTCATGAGTGACGCTTACATGGGCTGCGATCAGGAGTACAAGTTCAGCACAGAAGTGAAGGAGGCTGACAGTGAAGGAGACAGTGACAGTGATTAAGCCCACAGTAGACGGACGGTTTGAGCCCATTAACTCTTTTTTTTTTATATATATTTTTGGAGGAATAACGTGACTGTTAAGTTCATTGTGATTTGAATAAAGATGTACATTGGAGAGCTGTCGCAATGATGTTTTATTAAAAAGTTAACAAAACAAATTCAAGTACATTATGGGTAAAAAGAACTGCATCATGAAAAAAGATTGACTTTTATTTATCCTCATGTTATTCCATAACTTTTCTAACCTTATTTCCAGTGGACAGATATAAAATGAGAGCGCTTTTACATTTTGTCTCTCTGCATTAGTCATTTTTTGTTTAGTAAAGTTATCGTAAAAAATGTGATGGCATTTCTTTCCAAATCCAAATTTAAAATCACAGTATTATTATTTTCCACAATACCCATGTTTTAACTTGGAATAACCTTGATTTTTCAGTCACAACAAATAAATAAAGACCTTTATAAAATGAAACAAATATTACAATTTTACTGAAACACATGCGTAGTGAATCCACAGGATTTTTCCCCAGAGACAAAAAAAATCATCGGCATTTCGGCATGACATGAGGATTAGTAAATGACAGTTTTAACATTTGATAAATCAGATGTGTGGATTGAGTGCGCTGGTCAGCGAGGAGTCTCCAAACACATCAGCGTATGAAGCTTTAAGGTAGTTGACGTAGTTCTGCAGGCTGCGGTTTGAGCTGTTCACCTGCTCCAGCTGATTCTTCATGTCTTGTAGTTTACACTGAAATCTCTTCTCCATCTGAAAAAGGAAATGCAAACCATTTCTAAGAGAGTTTCATTTAAAGAGACACACAAATTCCCTTCATCATTTACTCGCACAAATCTAAAATGTCCTCTGTTTCATCACAGAGAGTTTTGCAGATGTATATCTGCTTAAATATTTTAATTGCATTTCTTTAGCAAGTGTTTTCCTTCCTGCTTTCATGTAGGTCAATGTAAATTGCACTGTACTGTAGGCAATGAAGTGCTTTAAATAAATGTGTAGATGTAACTGTAATAAATGTGTCTAGTAGACTTCTATTGGTGGTATGTTTGTGCGACCTCTAAATAAAAATAAAACTAACTTTTTCTGCACATGCACACACATACATATAACTTCATCCAGATTGACCGTGCTGGATCATTTTGCTGCGTTGAGCCTTGATAAAGAAGAGAAAGCCAAAGGCAAGTTGTGTATCTCTTATTTACATGTGATCTTATATTTTTTGCCGTTATGGGATTACCGTAAAAACGTGTCAATGGTGGGGAAGTGTTGTCTATCAATTGACAAGATATCTTGTCAATGTCAGGGAAAGGGTTAACAAAGTACAACTGTTTTCAAGATGGTAATACGCTACTTTAACAAAAAAATAAATAAATTCCCTGGAGCTCCACTGGGAAGGAAATATAAAGCGCTTTTCCACCATTCAGTGTGGTGCAGTGCAGTCTTGAGGGTTTTTTCACTGCTTTGCTTTCTGTACCTTGTACTTTTTTAGTACCACCTCAGGTAAGGTTCCAAGTCGCACTTAAAAAAAAAAGAAGAAAAAAAAACATATATGCTGATTGGGCCATTTCAAGCTGTACTAAACTGCAATGGAAATGCAAAACCATAGTGAGCCAAGCTGTGCAGAACTTTAAAGTAGCACACAGTCTATAGAGCAGGGGTTCTCAAACTCCTGCAAAGTTTAGTTCCAACCCCAATCAGACACACCTGGGCTAGCTAATCAAGCTCTCATGCAGCGGACTCTAGAGTTTGAGCATGCAAAATTCTGTCGTACAGCGCTGCGTAAAGGAACGGGGTTAAACAAGATGATTAGACATTTAAAAAAGCGAGCGATTGATCCATGTTTTGAATTTCTGTCCAGAGACGTCATGGTTTGATCTTTGATTGGTCTCATGCAGTCATGTGATGCGATTTCACAGGTCAGAGTTCACCAAGCTTGAACTTTGCAACACAGCAAGCTGTAAAACTTGACACTGGAGCTTGCGTTTCCAGTCTCGATTAGCTAGCCCAGGTGTGTCTGATTGGGTTATAACTAAACTAAACTTAACAGGACACCGGCTGTCCAGGACTGAGTTTGGGCACCCCTGAATAAAGGGGGAAAATAATATGTACTCAATGGCAACAAGTTGCCCATTCTCAAGTTCAGAATACCTTCTTTTGTGTTCAACAGAAGAAAATAAAACGGTTGAAAATGACAGTTTTCTGTTTTGGGTGAACTATTCCTGTCATCTTTTCGTCAAGTGTCTTCATCATAGAATACTTACATCATCTTTGCTGCGGCGTGTTTGACTCAGCTCATTTTTGGCCAGGCTCAGTTGGCTCTCCAGATCCAGCATTCTGGACTGAGTGGATCGCTCTTTAGAAATCAGCCGCTCCAGACTCTGCTCCCCCTGTCCACAAACATTAAACACTGCAGTTGAAGAGTTCTGCTGTCTGACGAGGCATGTGAAGACTGACAGACTGTCGTGTGTGTGTGTGTGTGTGTGTGTATGTATATATATATGACCTGTCTCTGTGCCTCCACTCTGCTCTGCTCCAGCTGTCTGAACAGACACTCACACTCGCGGCTCTTCTCCTCCAGATGCTGCTGGCAGCTCTTGATGGTCTCTTCACGCTTGGAGACCAGCTGAAGAAGATCCTTGTTCTGAGCACTCGTGTCCTCCATCTTCCTGAGTAGCAACAACAAGAAGTGAAGTTTCAGAAACTTATTTCGAGAGGAACATGTGATTCGATTGAGCACGACTGGCTAATCATCTGTAATCAGTAATAATCCAATCAGAGTGAGGCAGGCTTACTATAATTGGATAGTTTTCCCCCTACTGCTCTATGTTCATTTTGGAAGAAACCTTCCTTCCGCCCCAACTCCTTCTTTTCCACCCTTTTCTAAGGGGAAGCTCTCGAGACCTACTTGATCTCAGATCCCCTTATATGCTTTTTGACCGGGCGGTCAAAATTCATATGCAAAACTGGAATATCGCATAACAGATGTGCGAATAAATCAGCATTTCCATCCAATGAGACAAAGCGAACAAAATAGTTACTTCCTGAATAACTGCCGCCAAAAATCAACGGTAAAAACAGAATTTACTGCGGTAGGAGAAGCTGCGTGAATCTTTTCTTTATTTAATAAATTACTTGTGCCTCAGAAGACGATGCCAACAAGCAATGAACACGTGGTGACGTTTAAAGGCGTGATACACAGAGCATAGCGTCTTTTGATTCTGGAGTAATTAATAATATAATAACACTAATACTGAAAGGGTTACTGTGTTTTAGAATGATTAAAACATTTCAGATGTTTTACAATGTGCTTGGCCTTCTGGAATGTCCATTTGCACACATTTTCATCATCACATGATCATATAACAAATCACATGACTTTTTAATGCGTATACTGAAATTTGTTCGCTAAAAGTGTTCCATAGCAATTTATGCACATTTTTTCTCATCGAAAAAAGTTTATCCAACTCAGTTATGCGCACATGTTTTTGGTGTTTCCATCAACTGTTTTTTATACTTTCATAAAAGTAGGTGGTTGGAAACGTAGCTATAGTTATTTCGCACAAAACAAGTTAAAGTCCACATGAACAGGAAGCTGTGATCGTTTTTTCCCATATTGTGACAGTTCCTAGAGAAACAAAATATTAAATGATAAAACAGTGGACGTGACTTGTTTTTTCTTCTCTGAGCTGATTGGATGTAGTAAAGTGGGTCTTTTATTCAAAAAGATTGGGTAAAGGGTTTTGGAAGAGTTATTGCAACCTAACAGACACCTCCTGCTCACCATTTTTGTTCGTTGTCAAAACTGACAGTTGGAGGGCATGGTCAAGTATGTTATACACGTCCAATACTTTAGACAGGCGTAATCAGTGAATTTAACTGAAAACAAACAAGAAATGCATTTTGAGATTTTAATCTTAGATTACAAGAGAAACTTTTCTTTTTTCTTCTTGATGACTGTGACGACCCCAGGATATCAGTTTGGATGTGGCAGATCGTGATTAGGTGCCTGGTTGCTCTCCAATTGGTTTAAAGCATATAAATAAGAGTGTTGTGCTAGCTTCGGAAGGACTGTGTAGCTATTTGGACATCCTCGTGTCGAGACCTTCTCTTTCATTCTGTAACCTTATGGTTTCGTTTTGCATTATTTATATTATGTAGTTAAAGTTAGTTGTGATTATATCTTAAGTTCTTATTCTTCTATATCTATCCCTAGACATTTGTTTGTTCCTTGATTTGTTGTTCTATTAGTTTTATGTATAATAAATAAGTTGCATATAGATTCTTTTGTTGTTTGAGCTCTTTGATGTTGCGACTCAAATGAGGGGGTCTTAACAATGACATGCACAGATGAATTGTTCAACCACCGAACTGGCAATGTAGGCTAACCAAATCAATATGGTTAGTTTTGGCTGCATTTGTACTTTAATATTAAGACATATTTGATTTCAATTTCACAAGGCCTTTTTAATATGATACATTTTATATTGTGATTATACCATCAGTATATTTTGGATATTTTTTTTATATTATTATTATTATATTTTATATATTTTATTTACATTTTTTAAATATTATTATTATTATATTTTATATATTTTATTTACATTTTTTAAATATTATTATTATTATATTTTATATATTTTATTAAAGCAAAATATAAAGCAATAAGTACACTTTGGTTTATCTTATAAATAAATATAAACCGTTATTAATAATATTTATGAATTTAGTTTTAAAATGTTATGCATGTTGCATAGTAGACCAAAATATCAATATACTTGGTTTACTTTTTAAAAGAGAGAATGAAATTTTACTGTATAAAACAAAACAATAATATGCAAATGTGCAACAGACCTTTCAATGCTTTCCGTTGAGCGTTTCAGCTGCATATTTTCTTCAAGCAGAAATAAGTTCTTCTCCTGGAGTGACTCTATTTTACTACTCTGCTGCTCCACCTACAACCAAACAGGAAATTAATAAACCCAAGTGAGCTGGCTCAATCATACATCTGAAGGTAGAAATCTTAAACCAACAAAAGTGGTCTTCATAACCCCTCACTTTTGTCCTGAGTTCAGCCAGAGCGCAGCTGTGTTCAGTGTTTCTCCTGTCCTGGATGATCCGGTTCTCTTTGGTCTCTCTGAGCTCATCCTCCAGGAGCTTTAGAGCTTCGCGCAGCTTCTCCATCTCTTTCATCCGGGCCTGGAGCTGCTTGCGGCCATGCTCCATCTCTCTGTCCACCTCCACACGCTCGCTTTCTGCCGCCTCCTCCATCATCTCCAGTCTCAGCCTCCATTGCTCAGACTCCAGATGCGTCTTCTGCAACTAACATTTAAAGGGTTGTGATTACTATTAAATTTAGATTGACTGAAATGAGCAGGTGATGTTTGTGGTACAGGTGAATGCAAGAGTGTTTGAGTGTTTCCCTGTGTTGGGTTGCAACTGGAAGGGCATCCACTGAGTAAAACATATTAGCATAAGTTGGTGGTTCATTCCGCTGTGGCGACCCCAGATTAATAAAGGGGCTAAGCAGAAAAGAAAATAAATGAATGAAATGAAATCAGATTATTATTTGACGTCAGTGTAGAAGAGCTGAAATCTGACAACATTAAACAATACTAATGACTCGTAATGAAAATAATGAAACTGTTTCTTCTCCTCAGTGTCAGTATATTGAGCATGCATGTATTGATGCTTGCATGACTTCCTCTTGAAACAAAGTACAGATGCAGGTAATAAAAATTGTAAATGTGCACCCTATACTGACACTGAAGAGAAGAAACTGTTGAATTTAGCCCTTCTTTTTTTATTTATGCATGCACAAAGTATTCCGGTAGCTTGGTAATGTTCTTAATGAACCACTCACGATATATAGTCTCTTTCGAGGATGTTTTTTGGTATTTATTTTGAGTCTGGACCATGCTTTTTATAATACGCTCTCTTATGTGATCTCAAATTTCCTAATTTGTATTCAGAAGATGCTCCAAGGCCTCTGAGTTTTGGAACAACATGAGGGTTAGGAATGAACAATTTTCATTCATGAATTTTAATGTAGGCATCATCGATTACGTGATGGTGACTTTATACAGATTTTAACCGTTTAACTACATTTTAAACACAAAATTGTCTTTTTTTTCTAATTTCCAATAAAAATAGTTCCAAACATCTTTGAACAGCACTGCACTTTTGTGTTCCTGAATGAATCTGTGTTTAAATGAAGCAAGTAACAAATGATAATCCTTTTAAAAATTCTATTTATGGGCAGATCCATTCATAAAAAAGCTATTTTGCTTAATTTCTAAATAATTATTTTTTATTTGAACACACTTTTTGTCATCAGTCATGCTTTTAAACACAACTATTTGCCATCTATTGAAAGTTCTGTTTACACCTGTGATTAAAGGGTTAGTTCCCCCAAAAATGAAGATTCTGTTTAAATCATTACTCACTCGCATGTCGTTCCAAATTCCTGAGATGTTTGTTCATCTTTGGAACACAAATTAAAATATTTTAAATGAAATCTGAGAGCTCTCTGACCCTTTACACTTTTATGGTCCACAAAAGAGTTCTTTGAGCATTTTACAACTATAGTTGTAGATCACAAAATAAGATATTTCGAACAACTATCCCTGCAACAATTTTTTTTCTGTAAAACGTTAATCAAATTATTAATAAATAGAACGATTATTCAAATATATATAAAGAGGTTTCATAAAATAATTAACATTGTGTCTGACTCTCATGAGCATGGAGGACTGCATCCCTACATCTCTGCAATGACTCAAATAACTTTAATAATATAATCTGGAATGGCAACGAGTCTTGCAGGACTCTCAGAGTTCATCAAGATTCTTTGGATTCATCTTCAATGCCTCCTCCTTCATCTTACCCCAGAGATGCTCGATAATGTTCATGTTTGGTGACTGGGCTGGCCAATTCTGGAGCACCTTGACCTTCTTTGCTTTCAGGAACTTTGACGTGGAGGCTGAAGTATGAGGAGCAGCACTATCCTGCTGTAGAATTTGCCCTCTCCTGTGGTTTGTAATGTAATGGGCAGCACAAATGTATTGATACCTCAGGCTGTTGATGTTGCCATCCACTCTGCAGATCTTTCGCACACCCCATACTGAATGTAACCCCAAACCATGATTTTTCCATCAGAAAAAATTCTCTTCTGCCACTTTTCCAAATGATCAACTAGAAGACAAGTTATTATTTGTTGTTCTTACAACTGGGATCGACGACAAGACTTTTGTCAGATATATATACAGATAGAGATATGTATATTTGTAGAATAATTTACATGGCTCAACCAATCAGAATCAAGGACTAACCATCAGTTTTATAATATTGTTTATTGCTGTCCCTCTAAAAATGCTGAAACTTGAAAGTACCTGACTTTTGTAGCCTTCCACCAGACTCTCGAAGTCTTTGAGTGAGACCTTCAGCTGCTGCACCTCAGCCTGAGACAAACACAGCCTGTCCTCTGCAGCTGACAGAGTGCTCTAATGGAGAATATAAAGCAATATTAATTGACAAGAACATATAAATGACTCGTCTGCAAAAGAGGTAAGTCTTTCTCCAGACAGAGTTCTTGCCTTGAGTCTCTGGTTCTCCAGTTTGGTGGAAGTGTTTTCTGAGGTGAGGAAGTGCAGACGGTTGAGAAGACCCTCTCTCTCGGCACAGGACTTCTGCTCACAACTGCACAACTGATCACTCAACTCACTGAGACGACTGCAAAGAGACAACACTTACAATCACTGGCCATCATGAGCTCTGGAAATACCATAAATCAGTCAAACATGAAATGTTATTGGGAAATAGGGGTAGGAATCACCAGAAACCCCACAACAGGATTTTATCACAAAACTTGTGTTACGATACAATATTATTGCGAAATTTTAAATGTATTACAATAATCTGCGATTAGGGTTCCCACTCTTTCATGAACAGCACATTCAAGGACTTTTAATTCAAGCACATTGTATAATTCCCCCAGCATATGTAGCGCCATGAGAGTCCTTACAGTATTTAACATTTTACCTAATATTTAGATTAAAATGTCACAGTAATGAAGATATTTTGTATGTGTCATTTTCAAAACATCATCATTACGCTACCATTTTAATTCGTTAGAGGTGCAGTAGGTGATTGTCTTCAGAAACATTTTTTGCTGTGCTGGTTGAAAGTCTCTTCAAGGTCCAATAGTAATGATCAAAGTAAATGATCTAAATATGTGTATTTATTTTTATATTCTGGGTAAGGCATAAGACTAAAACAAGTTCATTCAATTAAATAGTGTCGAGCCGACATTTCCTATATTTCCGATAAGTAGCTTAAACTGTCAGCAAATGCAGATTTTAAATATTGCGCAGCTGTTTACACAGATCCGCTGTTTGTGCGTACATGCACGCTGCTGTAGATGTTGTTTCACATGGGTGATAAGCACAGAAGTGTTGTTCAGCCACTGAAAAATTGATGTGACTATTTCAGTTTCATAAGGTAGCTTTTACAACATCGATAATGTAGATTTTTATTTAGTTTAACAGCAAAACAGAAGTAAATAGTGCTATTCCGCCTAGCCTGCTTTACTGAGGTTATGTTGGTTTTATATTCACATTGGTTCATTTTTAAACAATAATGACCTGTGACGCGCTCCCTATATTGTTTACTGCTACTCTAAATATTTGGTCGTAAATGGCATGCAAGTATGGCTTAGTAATAGGTAACTCCTGCACGCCGCTGTCCAAGCACTAGTCGTTTTAGCTCAACACATGAAAGAGGGTTCTGCTGTCACCTTTAAGGTGTGCGTGCTCGTGTTTCAGGAGGCGTGGCTCTGGACTGTGGTTCAGAGATTTATGCTAACCAGTTAGCATTGTGCAAGATCACCCACTGCACCTTTAAATCAATACTGGTAATCTTCAAATGTGGTTTCTGAAATATTGATGAAATGTGCATTATTTTTCATAGTTTTGTACAATGTTTAAAATATAAGATTTTTTTTTTATTAAGAATTTATAATTTTTTGTTCTGTTTTTGACTGTAGCACAGTACAATTGCTGAAATAACTTTTAACGTTACACTGCAATTTACTACCATTTTTAAATTATGTCCCGATAGAAAACTTAACTGGTAACATCGGTTTTAACTAAATAGAAACAGTTTGTGTATCTCAGTTAAATTTAATTTTTGCAATTGTCATGCACAGGGTATATGCAGGAATCCTGAAGATAATATCAATACCTTTTTAAGACTTTTTAAAGATCTTCTCAGAATATTTGAAGACGTCATCGCCACTTCAACTTCTAATCAGTATCAAAACTTTAACTTAATAAACAGTTGTTAATGGAACTCCTAGGACAGCGTTTGAACAAACTTTAAGACCTTAAAAAAATGTGATTAAGACTTTTTGATACCTTTTTAAGTGCCTTAATTTTCTCATAATTAATTTATCAGCTTTTAATACTTTTTAAGATCCGGCGGACACCCTGCATGCAGATAAACTGACCAACGCTATTGAAAATCTGTCATAAAATGTTATATGCACCTTTCTGTAATGCTGCAAGAAAAAAGAAAAGAAAAAACTCTAAGTTTTTTTTTAGAGTGGTATGCTAATGGTCTAATCTGATTCGATGATCTTTGCTAAGCAAAACTAAAAGTGCTTTCCGCCAGGCTCAGAGATCAAACTATTTGCAATTAAAGTTGAGTCTTCCTTTAAACGACTTGCAAAATAAAATCGCTAAAGGTAGGTTTTATTTTTGTTATGCAGAAAAAATATGAAGAGTTTTGCTAAAATATGACTAAATCTGACTTTTCCTTGACAGCCTTTGTGAGTTTCACTTAAGAACAAACCTGTTTTTACAATGCATTTGACAGACTATTAAAATAAACTCACTGATTTGGAGACCTACTAGTCATAAATTACTCAGAGCATAATCCAGAATTCACAGTAAAAAATAATAAATTACAGACAAAGACTAGACTGAGTTTCAGTTGAGCACAAAGCAGGTTAAGAAAGAGTCCCTGACTTATTTAAGGTGGTGATCTGCAGCTCCAGCTGGCTTTTCTCTCGGCTCTGTTTGGAGAAACGCTGCTGAAGCTCCTCAGCACTGGAGAGAGCCTCTGTTAACTGAGCCTCCTGAAGAAATGACAGAGACACATTAGGCATCACAACACAAGTCTGTACTGAATGGGTCATACTGGACAAATGTGTGATTTATGTATTAAAGAAAGTATTAAATAAAAACTGTACAATGTGGGATTGAATGTCAAATTTAGGTAAAATTACACAAAGTGGAAATCAGAATTATTAGCCCCGCATGTTTATTTTTCCCTTAATTTTTTTTAAAGGAGATTTTGTTTTTCAACACATTTCTAAACATAATAGTTTAATAACTCATCTCTAATAACTGATTTATTTTATCTTTGCCATGATGACAGTAAATAATATTTTACAAGATATTTTTCAAGACACTTCTATACAGCTTAAAGTGACATTTAAAGGCTTAACTAGGTTAATTAGGGTAACTAGGAAGGTTAGGGTAATTAGGCAAGTTATTGTATAATGATGGTTTGCTCTGTAAACTATCGCTTATAGATTATATATAATATATAGCTTGAAGGGGCTAATAATTTTGACCTTAAAATTTGTAAAAAAAAAAAAAAAAATTCTTAACAGCTTTTATTCTAGCCGAAATAAAACAAATAAGACGATCACCAGAAGAAAAAATATTATCAAACATACTTGTGAACATTTCCTTGCTCTGTTAAACTGAGAAAAAATTTTTTTAGCCCTCCTGTGATGTTTATTTTTCTAAAACCATTTTGAGGTCAATATTAATAGCCCCATCAAGCTTTATATTTTTGATTGTCTACAGAACAATCTATCATTATACAATAACTTGCTTACTTCCCTAACTTACTTAATTAACCTAGTTAAGCCTTTAAACGTCACTTTAAGCTGAATACAAGAATCTTAAAATATATCAAGTAAAATATTATGTACTGCCGTCATGGCAAAGATAAAATAAATCAGTTATTAGAAATTAGATATTAAAACTATTATTTTTAGAAAAGTTTTTTTAGATAAAAAAAAGTATTTTTAGATAAAAATCTATCTGTTAAACAGAAATTATGGGAAAAAATAAAAAAGAATAAAAATTTAACAGGAGAACTAATAATTCTGACTTCTGGTTTTTGTCTTTGGTAGGATATCCAAATCTTTTTCTTTTCTACATTACCTTTTCCAGGAGCTGTGCAGAAAGCTGTGCAGCAGTATTCACACTTTTCTCTGCCTGTTTTCTGTGTTCCTCCAAGACCTGTTTGTGGACGTCTCCTTCACAGTGCTGCTTCAACTCTCTCATCTGCTCCAGCAGGCCTTGAACCTCATCCTGCTGATGCTGCAGTGTCTCTTCCAGTCTCTGTGTCGCAGGACATGTTTACAGTCTCACTTTACTGTGTCAAACAAAAACCGAGAACAAAGTATAAATTTGTTGGCTTACTTGGATCTGAGCCTCCTGACGTTTATTTTCAGCTTCCTTCTTAAGCAGATTGTTCTGCAAGCGACTGCGGGTTGATTCAAGAACCTTGGACAGCTCTCCTGTGGCTTTCATATGCTCCTGTCATGAAACAATGTCTTTTAAATATTTTTCAGATTTTAAAGTACTCATCGCAGAAGAAAATTAGATGCAAATCCACAATATTGAAGTATTGAAGGTATTAAGTAATGCTGTAGAAGAATGCTACACAAATGCATAAAGAAAAATTACTGTTACCTTTTCAGTTTCCAAATTCTCAGCCATCTGATTGGCCTCTCTTTCTCTCCTGCTAAGTTTAGTCTCAAGTTTCTACAACAGAAATGATATTTATTAGTAATAGTAAACAACAAGTCTAGCTTGAGAGAAAGGAAACAGCTTTGCATTCAATAATTAACTACCATTTGGAATTTTGAGGTTGGTAAGATTCTTGGAGTTTTAACTAAATTCTGCCTTATATGGACCACTGCAACATTTATTTGATCTAAAACACAGTAAAACAATATTATGTATTTTTATTAGAACTTAAAATTGTTTATGTTTTATATTAAACACATTTCAAAATCTTTTTTTCTGTGATTTCAAAGCTGAATTTCAATAGTTGCTACTGTTCTGTTTTTGTTTTTTACTGGCAATGTTAAAAATAGCTGCGTTGATTTAAAGGAATATTTCACTCAACATTTTTAATTCTGCCAAATTTTTCTCACTCTTCACTTGTTCAAAACGTATTTGAGTTTCTTTCTTCTGTTAAACAAAAAAGAAGGAATTTTGCGAAATGCTGATAGGTAGCACTATTGACCATCAAAATAATTAATAATGTAACCTTGGAAGTCGATGGGTGCTAGCAATCAGCATTATTTAAAATATCTTTTTTGTGTGTTCAATGGAAAATGAAACTCAGAAGAATTTAAAACCAGAAGCGGTTTAAATTATGCTGTAATTTTGATTTTTGGGTGAACTATCTCTTCAAATAGAACTATTTTGTAACATTAACCCGGGCGGCGTATAGTTTAGTGTAGTATGAAAGTATTCATTTATTTTTTTTAAAAAAACTTAAATGACCACAAACTTTCGAACAGCAGTTTTGCGTATCAAGCTCACAACATTGTTATATTAATAACACCACAAACCAATATACAATTTTTGTAACACTACCACAACAACAAAAAATATATACACAACACACCCTTCTCTCAGCTTCAGAATCTGCTAGCTTCCTCATTAGAATCTCTCTCTCATCAGTCATCTTCAAAGCATCTGTCTGTGATAAAAATAAAAAAACAACAACAGAAAAAAACAATGGATTTCTGCAGTACAATAGAACTAAATTAAAATTAAATGTATAATAAATTAAGTTTACAATAGTACCTCACGCCCATGCTGCTCCCTCAAAAGGCGTCTGAGAGTTCGGTTTGTCTCCACAAATTTGTCCAACTTCTGTTCAAGTAGCTCATGTTGACGGCCCAGCTGATCCGAGTTTACCTTTGACTGTTTTTTCTCCTGAATACACAAATCACATGTGTTTTATTTACGTGAAAAAATATCACTGTAAGACACTGCAGTTTGCAATCTACCTTTTTGAGTTTGCCCACAGATTCCTTCAGAAGCACCACTTGTTTGGCTGCGGCCTGACCATCAATTTCAGCTTCCACCAGTTTCCTCAGCAGAGTTTCTAGCTCCTGGTGCAGTGGTCCTGCATCTGATCTGTTCACATCAACCACACAATTAAAACATCCAGGATATAAAAAAAACTGAAAATAAATGTGTCAAAAATATATTAAAGTACAGTACCTGATTTCTCCAGGTTCACCCTGTGTCCCGTCTGCAGAGCTACGCAGATCTGTGTTTTCACGTTTTGACCTCCTCAAGCTTTTACTAGCTTCCTCAAGTCTTTCCTCATGCTGGTCAATCAAATGCTGACAGGCACTCAGCTGCTGTGACTGGTGCTTCAGGTGCTCCTCTGCTTGCCGTAATTTCACCTGAAGAGTCAAATCAATTATAAAATCTTTCTTAATGTCATGCAGGACTTAACATTAAGGACTGCCCGATGGCTCAACGCCAGTGTAAAAGACCATTCACGTGCAAGATGTTAAATTCAGTATTAGCATGCACACAACATATAAGGTCAAGTCTTAGACACCATGCAAACATCTGGTATTGAAGGGATAGTTCACTCAAAAGTTCAAAAAATTGTATGTTGAACACAGAAGAAGACATTTTGAAGAATGTCAGAAACCTGTAACCATTGACTTCCATATTAATAGTTTTTCCTACTAAGGAAGACAATGGTAACTGGTTTTCAGCATTTTTTAAAACAACTTCTTTTGTGTTCAACAGAAGAAAGAAACCCAAACAGGTTTGTGAAAAGTGAAGGGAGAGTAAAAAAACGACAGCATATTCAGTTTTTGGTGAACGAACTATGTTTTTGCTGTAGTATCGAAATTGATATATTGAAACTGTGTACAAGTTTTGATTACAAAATAAAATGGATCAAAAACAAATAAAGCAACTATTTTAATTTTTGCATGGATTCATGCCAGGGCACAGGAATATAAAATCCCCAATCCATACCTCATTTTTTAAACAGTCAACCTCCGACATTAGGCTTTCGAGTTTTCTCTCATATTTGTTGATGGCTCCTCCTGGATCCTCTTCTTCACTGGACAGGTCAGTGAGCCGGAGTGGAGGTGAGGAAGAGGAGAGTCCAGGAGTGATCTCCAAGCAGCGAGTAGCCCCCTGATGGAATTTTTAAGGAGTTAAAACAGTATTTCATGAAAATGCAATTGTCATTTTAAAAACAAGAAAAAAGCAGCGTGATTTTATCTGTGTGAAATTGACTGTATGGCTGTGGTTTACTAGAGAATGGGAATGTGACATAACAACACAATGCACTGTTGAACTTTTGGTCATGGAGCTGCAGTAGAAACTGTGTAGCAGTGAATGTAGGTATGTAATATTATTGTGTTTTTCTTATTTAGTGTACGAATGCACTGAAAAACTCTTGCTCTATTTATTGACATTGGTCGTTCTCAAATTTTGCAAGTGACACAATTGAAATAAAGCAAAAGTGAAAGTACATGGTAAACAGGGTGAGGTAATAAAAAAACGAATGATGTGACATGATTTGTCCGGCCCTCACACAGGAAAGGTTGCTGCATTAAGAGTAAAATTAAGTATATTTAATTAAAAAATACAAGGGCATTTATAAATGTATGTGTTTGTGTGTGTTTACAGATAAAATGATTTTAATAATTGTTATTAATAATAAAGATTTTTATTTCACGCTGGTGAATAAAGTAAAACAGGGCTAAACAAACCTCCCATTTGTACTGTCTTCGTGTTGAGCTCTTTCCAGGAGGAACCCATGGAGCTCGGACCTTCACACTGGCAGTGGATCGCAAACTGCTCACTTTTGCCTGCTAAAAACACAGTAATGGTGATGAGTGACTTAACTGTTTCTGTAATTCAGATAATATTTATTTAAACTGGAACAAGAGGAGGATATGGTCAAACCTGGCTCCTCTGTGGGCTCTTCTTCAGGTGAACATGCACAGATGTGGAGTCTGGGATATGAACATGAACGGGCGGAGAAGACGACCGTGTTTTCATCCCTTCACTTTAGTAAGACGGTCTTAAAACAGTTACAGGTATGAAAAAGTGTCCCAGATGTGTGTCAGAAACTTGTAAGAAAAATAAAAAAGAAGTGTTACGAAACAAGCGTCCACTTTGTCCACATTCAACGATGTTTGTAGTTCTGAGTCGTTATTTTAGTTTACGCACTGCAACCAGTTAAATCGGCATGATCGGAAATACGTTTGAAAAAGCAATTCGTGTACATTAAATGGTAAATATGAATTAAAAAAATATTACAACCTCAAGTCAAGTATACAACGTTGCATCCCCCGGGTAATGTTGTTTGCACTACCCGGTAGTCTCGCACGGACAACAATAGCTGCCAATCAGAGACGCTCCTGGCACTACAAGTCCCGCCTTCGATGTACTGTTTTGGTTAATGATTGGCTATTTCGAACTTTATCGACAAAGAGCTGAGAAGTGTATGCCCAATGGACTGAAGCGTATTAGGTTGTCCTGACAACGACGCGTCGCTATGTGTGGGCATCTCGTTTGGCATTTATAATAAATAATAAACAGTAGTAACGTTATGACATTTTTGAATGATATTTGAATGAATTTCATCTAAATTATAATAACTTTAAAACTTCCTATTTTTATTTTTATAACTTCCTATTTTTATTTTTATCAGGGTTTCTGCTGGTTTCACCCAGTTAGTTAAATGTAAGACCTTTTTAACACCATTGAACGAAACTTTAGACTTATACAGGGCAAAATGCTAAGGATTTTTTTTTTCGAATATACCAGTTGAAAAAGATTTTCATTTGCTTTATCAAAAATGATTATAATTTAATATATTTAACAATATAATAATAATTTAAATAATAAGAAATATAGGTCAGGTGAGTATTCACAGTAAACAAATATAGAACTTTTAAACAAATGTTACTGTAAGGAAAGTAATTAAAAAATTATGGTAAATTTAGTTAAAATCCTATTTTAAAATAAAAAAAAATGTAAAGAGATTGGGATTGTTTGTGATCTTATAAGCATACATTCTTGTATGATTGTAAGTTAATGGCCTGATTGGGTAGCTATATATGAACAAAGGAAAATTAAGACCTATTAAAAAGATTTAAGACCTGCAACACAATATATTGATGGATTTAAGACTTTTTAAGACCAAAAATTTAGCTTCTGAGATTTAAGACATTTTAAGACCCCACAGATATACCCTGTCATGTACAGGGTTCTTACACATTTTCCAACTTCAAATTCCAGCACTTTTCACTTTTTCTTTTTTATGCTTTTCCAGCACCTAACAACCACAGTAAATTACATTTATTTATGATGTATGTACTTTTCACATTTAAATCCATTGAGCTATTTTTAAAAACAAAAAATTACATTTCAACTTCAGTTGTTGAATACTTTAAAGCATAGATTTATAGGCATAGTTCACCCAAAAATGGTCAAATATATAAAATAATCAGTTATTGGAAGAAGTATGTTATTAAAATTTGGTCTCTTTCTACCTAAAGTTAATATCTCAAAAAATGAGCTCACAGTCAGATTTTGTTTGGATGTAATGCCAAACTTTCATGACCAGTCGTTCATGATATTTCATGTACGTTGCTATTTTTTTACAGTCATTGGTTTGGCGTTTTAGGTGCAAAGATGCATTCTGGGTAAATGTCTCCAAAATATGTATGGAGCTAATAATATGCCAAAAGTTAATATAACTGATTATTATATGATATTTAAAAAAATAATAATAATTTGAATTTTTAACTAAAAGATAAGGTTACAGTATAAGTCAGAATCAGCTCTTTATCCCTCAAAACACTGAGAGCTTGTTTGATTAACCAATGAGATTTAATTTAATTAAATATATGAATTTGGTTCACTGAAGCATGCATGTTAACTACTAAAAATAACTGCGCCCCAATAGCCAAACAAACGCCAGCAAACTCAAGCAGCTGTATGATAGGCCAAAATGCTTAGTTTGACTTTTCAGTGATCATCTACTCTTCCTTGCTGATCACCACTGACCTACTTTCTGCAAGATCTGAAATTCATGATCTGAATTTTAAATTTTGTATTTTAGTATATTAAATTTGATGTTCCGAATTTCTCCATCTTGAAAACTTAAAACTTTTTTTTTACAAACTGAATATCTGCTGTCTATGAATTCAGAACCAAAAAAATCTAAAGTTTGAAATTGTGTCTATAAAAATCTGACTTTAAAAAATTAAGTTGTTTTAAATTTCAGATGTTCAGTAATCAAGTTAAGAAATTCAAATTCAAGTTGAGAAATTAAAATTCAAGTTGAGAAATTAAAATTCAAAAGAATTTTAAATGGCATATAATATTTAGTCTTTATTAACTTACAACTATTAATAATTCAAATGAACAGTTCAAATTCAGATTGTTTTGGCATATTATTAGCTTCATAAATACGAGCATACAATGAACATTTTGCAATGAAAACTGGTCACACGGCAACAATTTATGCAATCCCACAAATGCTCCCAAATATATTTTGAGCTCACATAGATAAAATTTCAGGTGCATATGCAACCAAAATGGTCACAATTTTGAGCCCTGAAGTTTCAAATTCAAGCAGGTTTAAGCACTTTTCTAACCTTAAAAACACCATTAAAAATCAAGCATTTTCCAGGAATTCCAGCACCCGAAAGTACCCTGTATCTATAATATATGTAATAATCTAATCTGCCCTTTTAACAATTAAACTCAATATCTACACATACAATTTGTGTACTGCATTAGCGTAGTGTATGTATGTATGTATGTATTTATGTATGTTCTGTTTCGACTATTTAAAAAACAGTTTACAGACCAATCAAGCCAATGACCATATGCTTGAGACGTTTATTTCTTTGACAAATATTTACCATTCTTGTCAAATCAAAAGATGATGCATAGATAATATCTTGGTTAAATGAACAGGCTGAATGTCCATAGAAACTATCACATTATTCATTAAGATTTCCTTTAAATTAAACCATCTAAACCCAAGGCTTTGAAAACTAATATGAACAATCAGCAAACAAGTTTTGAAGTCACTGTAACCTCAGATTGAAAGAAGAGCAATCTAAACTGAGGTAACTGTAAGCTTGAGTAAGCAACCTAAATGCCACTTGATGACAATTGTAGCGAAGCAGAAATTCGAAAGAACAAGAAAGAGCAACATATGCGAAAACAATTAACCGTAATTTGTGAAAACTGATGTTAGCTTCAAACTAATCCACACACTTGAAGAACTGGATGGTTTAAGAACAATCCCTGTAAAGCTTATTCACAACTACCATAAGAGGATGTTTTACTTTAAATAGAAATTGGTTCATGTTGCCATCCAAAGTAAAAGGAAATCCAGAAATCCAGCCTAGTCAAGTATAATGACAGAGTAAAAGCGTTCAATGCCATTTCAGGGATTTTTTTTTTATTGATATCTTTAAATTAATTTCTTAGCTTTGAGGTTACAGTCTGAGCCAAGAATAGATGAAAGCCAGTTTAATTACTGGAAAGGAAGTCTTTACGGCAAAACCAGCAGGCTACCATTAGATGTCATCAAGCTTTTTAAAGTTGTGCTGTGTTAATCAAGAGCTTCATGTCGGTGCAGCGATGACAGAATGACAGAAGCTTTGATTTTATGACACATGTTGTGTGGCCTTCTGCATTCGGCTGTACCATTTCTTCACCTTGGTGTGTTCCATCATATCATCAAATGACTGAAGGCCTTCCATAACCCTCAGAACTCCAAACACTGCCTATAGCAAAGAAATAAAAAATAAACAAGGTATGAGAAGGAGCCTATTACTTAAGTAAAGTACATATTCAAGCATAATTACATAGGATAGTTCACCCAAAAATGTAAGTTTGATGTCAATTTATTGACCAACAAAAGATTTTAGCCGTTTATGATTCCTAAAATGCAAGTGAACCGTTATCAGCACTTTGTGAGTCACAAATAATTTACAAGCAAAACAAAATATCTGTGGCTCCTGACGGCACACTTAAAGGTGTTGTATGTAAGTTTTTGACTCTTCTAAAGCATAAAAATATCATAATAAGTTTGCAGATATTTAAGAAACATGCTAAGTGAACATTCTTGTTCTCTAAAAAACAATGCTGAAGTCAGTTATTCTGCTTTAAAAATGGGCGTTCTGTGCCGGAACGTCTGTCTGTGTTTTGGTCTATGTAACCAACCAAGTTGCCTATTTAGTTGCCCAGTTTAGCCTATTATATTTCAGCACCCTGGGTTGTCTTGTTGGAAAACTGCATATTTCATTCAGTCTGAAAGGCTCTAAAAGCATGCTTCTGTGACCGAAATGCGACCTCCGGTGAACAGTAGCAGACTTTGAAATGAGACGCACATTCAGAGCTCCACATGAGGTAATTATTAGCAAATAATATAAATATTCCGAATGTAAACATTAGGTGAGCAGGTTACATTGTAACCCTGTGCCCTAAAAATACGCTACATGATGAGATTTGCAGTGAGGTTGTTGTTTACAACAAAAAGTCATTTTTTTCACAATATTTTTGTATATTTTTAATATACAGCCTTTTAAGTTAAATAAGCGCAGGCTTCGTGACAATAAGAGCCTTTTTTTCAAAAACATAGATATTTTACAGATCCCCATGTAAACGAGTGGCAAGAAATTGAAAATAAGAACTTTTTACCTCAGAATTCAGACTTTTTTTTTTTAAGGTAAAGCAACAATTCTGAGATAAGTCGCAATTGTAAGTTATGAAGTCAGGATTTGAAATAAAAAGTCTTAATTCCGAGTTATGGTCAAAATTCTGACTTTGGATCTCGCTAATTGAAAAAATTAAAACTTGCGATTGCAAGTTATCAAGTCAGAATTTTGAGATAAAAGTCCAAATTTTATCTCACAATTGCGAGTCAAGTCAGAATTGTTACTTTATTTATCAGAATTTCAAGATATAAATTCAGAATTTTGAAAACTCGCAGTTGCAAGTTTTAACCTGACTAATCTGACTTTTTTTAATTGTAAGGAAATTCTAACTCAATAACTCACAATTTCAAGTTCACATTTCACATTTCTGAGATAAAAGTCAGGATTTTGAATTCTGAGCTAAAAAGTAGCAATAACCTTTTTTTCATTTAGTGGTGGAAAAAGCTTTCATAGACCCCAGTTTACAGAAATAAAGTGTATTTCTATTAATATAATTTCTGTCTATCAGAAAAACACATACCAGATCTGCAAGGTTGGGTTCATCACCTCCCATGAATTGCTTGTTTTTTCCAATGGCTGCCACCCAGTCATTGACAGCCTTGTAAAGATCCTGCCTTACATCAGCTTGCAGATTGTGTCTGTAGAACGAGCAAATTTAACTTTAATATCAAATCATTTTTTTTACATATTATTTACACACTGCCAACAGGTGCATACTTATATTTTAATCTCTTTGAGATGATCCACATGGCAGCAGCTCCAAAATACTTAGCAAAAAAGCCCTCGAAGGAACCGAATTTCCCTTCCCGTACTATGTAGTCAAAAGATGCGAGGGCTTCAGTTGGCGTCCGGTAAACATTTGGGGAAATTAGATGCACCAGCCAATCATCTGCCCATGTCCGCCATTTAATCTCTTCTCTGAGAAATAAAAATGTTATTGAAACATAGAGGAAGCCCCATAAAGCTAAATTATTGTTTGACACAGTAAATAAAAAATGAAATGTTGAGAATGCAATCACTCTCAGACATAACTGATTTGCTTTACTTTCTGCTGTCTTTTCCAGGATATAGTTGATCAGCATCCGCGTCATGCACCATGACCCAGTACTTATTGCCAAACTCTATCACGTCTTTCCCTCTGTCGTTCTTTGACTTCATTTCAGGATAACAAGCAAGAATCTCAGATATCTTTTTGTCCCTAGGAGGAGAAAACAGACCATCCAAATTTGCATTTAAATTTACATTCATTTGCCAGAATGAACAGAACCACAACTTTTTTATAGCGAAGAAGCAATCACAAAAATGAATGCAGTACTTAAAGGGATAGTTAACCCAAAATAAAAATGGACTCCTTAAGGCTGATTTATACTTCTGCGTCAAACACCGGCGTAGGCTACGGCGCTGATGCATAGCCCTTCGCCGTGGCCGTCGCCGTCACTGACGTGCACCTCTCAAAAATTGTAACTACACGTCGCAACAACGCGTAGCGCAAGCCCTGTGATTGGTCGGCTTGCTAGCCCCGACGAGTCTGGGCGGGACCAAGAGCCGCGCGAATGGCGCGAGCGATTGTTTACAAGTGTGGAGTCCCGTGAAGGAGCTCCGGATGGAAAGTTTTGTTTTGTGTTTACCTCATGATTAAAGTTGTTGCACGTCCGCCGGTTCCTGCCTCAAAATGAGCGAGTTTGAGTCACTTGTACATCCAGGAAGTGTTCAGAATAGCAAAACAGAAGCGAAGAAACTCGACACAGAGAAACATTTACACCTCATTGCCAACTAGCGTTTCGGAAGTGTTAATGCAGACCAACAGAGACAGCGCGCAGAAGTATAAATGCACAGCTGCGCGCGTTGCCTGCGCCGTGAGTTGCGCCGGTCACTTGACGCAGAAGTATAAACCAGGCTTTACTCAGTCTTAAGTGGTTCTGATCATTTATGAGTTTATTGTTGTTGTTGTTCTTGAGCAAAAAAAAAAAAGATATTTTGAAGAATTACAATAGCCAGTAAATACTGACTTGCATTGTAAAAAACACAAATACAGTCAACAGTTACTGGTTTCCAACATTTTACCAAATAGGTTCTTTTGTGTTCTCGAACATGTTTGTAACAAGTGAAAAGTGTGTACACGATGACAAAATATTTATATTCTTATTATATTCTATCAATATTATAAGAAAATATAATGGTGCCATTTCATTCTGGCTTCAAACTGTGACTAGGGAAGAAATTTAATGTATAAAATGTAATGTTACAAATAAAGTCAAGCCAAAAGCACAGCAAAAAAAAGACGCTTAAGTGTTGCTACTACAAAATATTTATAGGTCAGAGAAAAACAGGGTTTCAGTCTCAATAAATAATATGAAATTTAATAGTTTTCTTTTATTCTATAATTTGAATTGTATTTAATAGCATTACATTCTCTCAAGCAAACAATGATTATCCTAGATCTTTACTATAATTTACAGATGACACCCATTAAAATGTTATTGGTGAACAAAATAAAAATTGATTGTTATTTTAAACCATTATACGTTGTCACTGATTTATCCATTTATCAGGCAAAAAAACTAAATTTGTAATGATGTTTTAATTATAATTCCCATTTTAATAAGTATATCAATATATTCTGTAGATTAGAATTTGTTTTTATGCAGACATATCTTATAAATAGTCTAACAATAACATCCATACAAATAAAATAAAACTATTCAAGCAGAAGATACTCACTTGCTGCTAATGTATGTCTTCAAAGCACTAATAATTACTGAAGAGTCATTCAGTTGCTGTTGAGGAATCGATCAAGAAAGAGACTTTGTGAGCAGAAGCATCATATACTTCACTATCCATAATCAGGAAAGACTACATACCACCGTCCCGTTCACCATCAGGATGGGGACTTTTCTGTAGGTCGACCACTTGATCTCCTGCCGCATAACGGGATTGACCTCCACGATTTCATATGGCAGTCGATGATAATCCAGGAAAGCTCGCACTTTGCTGCAAAACGGACAGGTCTTATACTGATAGAGAGTCAATTTCAGGTCTGTGTCCAGATCTGATGCCTGAAACAATAAAAATCAAGGTAAGCCAGCAAACTAAAAATTACACATATTGGACTTTCAACAGCTGCACGTCAACGAGAAAATTTCAAGGGTGTCAGACATTGCACATTCGTGTATATTTACGTCAGCTTCTTTCTCTGCAAGGTGATGTTGAAGTGTGAGTTTGATGGTCTGGTACAAGCCGAAACCACCTCCGAGCAAGAAGGCGCATCCCAGGACTCTGCCACTGCCTCGCACCGGCGCCGCGAGCAAAAGTCTGGATTTAAACCCCGAGCTACCGGTACCGTAAGCTCTCCCTTGGCATCTCATGGAGGTTCTCGGCACGAATGCCGCAGTGTTTGTAAAACGGCACGTCGGCGTGTCTAAAACTAACCGGCCGACCTTACCCAGCGTTCTCGTACAGGCCGCCGCCATCATGATTTTACATAAACTCCCACAAATCTACGGCAAGCGCAATGACAGCCGAGCAAGCGCTACTAGAGCGCTACAAGCTAATAGCCGTTTCCAAGGAGAAAAAACGTTAACTTCCTGCAGGGGGCGCAATGGGTTGAAAAACAAATCTCCAACTGTGTCGCATTAAAATCTTCTTTTTAGTCTAATTTAGATATTTATTTACACCAAACAAGAGTTCATATACACTGTTTTATAACTTAGAAGCATAAATAAAATCTTCATTAATCTTTACAAATAATCGTGATCAGCGCGGAGAAAAGTAACAGATGTCGCGTGACACACTCATCGGATAAGAGCTTGCACATTTTCCTGTGGCCTGACTAATATTTACAACAATTGTTAAACTTATAACCTGGTCAGGGTCTGAAACACATACAGTCCATTTTGAACATGACTTTCGCAGACGGACAGCTTATACTAGCTAACTTACAGCATGTACTTTTAAGAATAATTGCATTCATTATTCATTAATCTGGGGTCGCCACAGTGGAACGAACCGCCAACTTATCCAGCACATTTTTACACAGCGGATGCCCTTTCAGCCACAACCTGGGAAACACAGGAAACACACACTCATACACTACGGACAATTTAGCCTACCCAATTCACCTGTACCACATGTCCTTGGAAACTGGAGCACCTGGAGGAAACCCACACAATCGCAGGGAGAACATGCAAACTCCACACAGAAACGCCAACTGAGCAGAGGATCGAACCAACCTTCCTGCTGTGAGACAACAGCACTACTGCACCACTGCTACACCTAATTGCATAACAAAGTAAATTATGTTAAACCAACAAAGACAACCTTTACTTAAAAAAAGTTTACGGGCTAACCCTAACCCTAAGTATTCCTATTCATTATGTCAGCCGCTTCAGACTTTAGCTCCTTGAGTTTTAGTAGGTCAATTTTATTTACACAAATATAAGTTTTTATAAGCTAATTACATCATGTGTTTAATTTATTATTTCATTTAAAATAAATGAATAACAGACTTTTTAAAGCACCTGAATAAAATCATTAAAGATCTGTCAAATAGCCTAATATATATTACAATAAGTTTGGAATGAACCGCCAACTTATCCAGCATATGTTTTACACCGCGGATGCACTTCCAGCTGCAACCCATCACTGGGAAACATCCATACACACTCATTCACACACACAGACAATTGGCTTACCCAATTCACCTATACCACATGTTTGTTTTTGGACTTGTGGGGGAAACTGGATCACCCCAAATGAAACCCACCTGAACACAGAGAGAACATGCAAACTTCACACAGAATTGCCAACTGACCCAACCAAGGACCTTGAACCAGCGACCTTCTTGATTGCGATTGTGCTACCCACTGTAACACCGTGTTGGCCCGGTGATTGATGTTATTACACTTAATTTATTATTTTCAATTTTAGTAACACATACATACACACAAACACGTATATACTGTAAGAACGGTCTTTAAACCACATCGGTTCGAACTGTAGTTCTGCCGAATGACTAAAAAGTGATCAGCATGATGGTAAAAAACTGTACATTTCTAGTCAAACCATTCTTCTGCAGTCTTATACAAAAAACGGAAATAAGGGCAGTATTAATAGCTATAAATGTGGGAGAGCGTTGATATTATGTGATTGTATTGTATTGCTATATGGAACAATTAAGTGTTGATGTTAAATCAAAAGTAATTCACAAATACTTGAAAATGAAATGATTTAATGACAATAATTTTCTATGGTTACAACTGAATTAATAACAAAATACTGTATAAAATGATAAAATATGAAATGATAAAACATATGGTATACATTGTACCCAGCTTAAATGTAAAATTAAAGTTACCAGAGGTAGAAGGAGAGACACAGGGGAGGGAGAGAGAGACAAAGAGAGCAGGCCCAAAAGCCTGATTGCAGTAGAGTCAGAGAAGATAGACTCCAGAGGAGGAGAGGAGCAGAGCAGGAGAGAAACAGACCAGGAAAAGAGAGGGCAGGAAAAGAGACAGAGCTTGAGTTTACCTCCTATCTTGTATCTTTCTTGACCATGTGACTAAAGCCATTCAAGACATTCAAACTGACCAATCAACATGTGACCACACCATAAAACCCCCAAAGTCCACACAACAGGCCCTGATCTCATCAGTATCTGGCTTTGTAGTCAGTATGGACCTTCGTGAGTCAAAAAGCATGTTTTGTCATATAAACAAATGCATATGAAAATTTAGCCTCTTACAATACCAAAACATTATGACCACTTGCCTAATATGACGCTAGTCCTCTGGATGCTTCCATTGTAACCTGCAAAGGCATGGGCTCTGCAAGATATAGTATCTGGCACCTAGATATTAGCAGCAGTTCCTTTGTTTTTTTAGGGAGCAAGCAAAGTGGAGCCATTGTTGGTTTCAGTTAGGTGTTGATCTAGTGAATATGGAGGCCAGGATGTCTCATCGTCATGTTCTTTTAAGCTTTCCTAAACAATGTGTGCTGCATGGCAGTCCTGCTGTAATAGGCCACTTAGACAAGTGATCAATGTTAAGGTAGGTAGCATGTGTCAAACTTACGTCCTAATGAATCTCCAAACCCAGGGTTACTGGATTACTCAGAGCATCACAATCCACTTCAATGGCTTGTCTTTGTCTCGCATTGCATCCTAGAGAAAATTTTGCCTCGGCTTTTTAGAGATATTCTGCCTTGGTTAACTTCCCTTAATAATTTGGCTCATATGTTCATTCCTGCACATTACTTGATGATGAGAAATTATTGTTTGCCTAAAACTTAACCCACACCTATGCTGTTTCCTGTGGGTAACCTGCAGGAGTTGTATAGCATGTGTCAAACTTGCGTCCTAATGAATCTCCAAACACAGGGTTTACTAGTTTGCTCAGAGCATCATAATCCACTCCAATGGCTTGTCTTTGTCTCACATTGCATCCTAGAGCCATAATTCCATCCATGTAAACAGCCATTTATTTGATGAAAAAGAAAACAAGACCCATCTGAGATGACCTTCTTCTATTGCTCCATGTTCCAGTTCTGACACACACACATGCACATATAGGCACTTCTGATGGTGGAAAGAGGAATGAAGTGCTCTGTGTCATAAACAATCCTCTCATAACTATCATTCAGATTTAAAATGATTGTTTCAGATCAGATGGAAATCCTTTGTTGCCTTTATGCATGGCTGAACCTTGGGGGACCAGTACCCTGTTGCTGGTTTGTGGTTTGTCCTGTCAAGAACCACTGTTGGTAAAATTTCGCCTTGACTTTTTAGAGATGTTCTGGCTTGGTTTCCTTCCCATAATAATTCGGCTCATATTTTCATTCCTGCCCATTTCTCCCTCATCCAACATTTTGATTATGAGAAATGATTGTTTAATGTTTAGCCCAGACCTGTGCTGTTTTCTGTGGGTCACCAGCAGGAGTCGTAGTTACAATTTTACATGTCTTGTCAGGCTTTTTACTAACAAATGATTGATTCGGAACAACAGGTTTGTGTTCCCATCACTCACTCCCTGTGTGTGTTCTTTGTACCAATATGGAAACAAGCAAAAGGAAAAAGTTCTACACCAGGAAAAATTGAAACTCAGCATTGTTTGACTGATGTTATAAACAAAGCAAAGGCTTTTAAGAATGTGCAGACAGTTGTTTACAGCATGTTATAATCGATGAGTCATTACACAATAAAGAGGATGCAGAATCTTGTGGCGTTCTCTTTGGCAATAGGATGTGTATCATGTCACCACAAGTCTCATGGTCTACCAGTTAGAAGCCTAATAGTTACATTTATTTCAAATGACACATGTTGTTGCAGTGCCTTATAAACAAGTTTATCTTGCATCACTGTAACTTCTAAAATTACAGAGAACCGTTCTCAACAGCAGAGGAATTGCCACATTCATGCTGCTAAAATAGCCTGCATGCACATGTGGTTGTTAAAGTAAAGCTTTTGGAAATTTTTTCTCGAGACAGAAGTTTCCCATCGACGTGTAAAGTTTCTCCATGATTCCATTGCCAGTGTCCTGAGGCCGAGTGGAACATTAAAGTGAACAGCTCCAACAGTTCCTCTCCAACACCACCCTGTCCTGTCTTTGTGTTGAGCTGGATCTCTGTGTTTAGAAAGGATCTGTGCTTCCTTCCCTGACTTTCTATGAACTCTTATTCTACAACACACAGTTCTTGTCAGTTAGAGAGTGTTTATAAAGCCAGGAGTGCTTAAAGGGGGTGGGTCTGTGTCTGAATTTATGTATTTATATTCAAACAATTCTTACCTATCCTAAACCTTTAAACAGTAGTATATATAATATCCAGAATTCCTTATAATGTTGTGATGGCTAAAATCACATGTAGCATTGAAATTAACTGAATACTGATGTTTCTATTCTAGTGTGGCATGGTGGCTCACTTGTTAGGACTGTTGCCTCACAGCAAGAAGGTCACTGGTTCATATCCTAGCTGGGCCAGTTGGCAGTTCTGGGTGGAGTTTGCATGTTCTCCATGTGTTCGAATGTGTTTTCTCCAGGTGCTCCGATTTCCCACACATTCCAAAGACATGCCCTATAAGAGAATTGGTGGAACTAAATTGGCTGCAGTGTATGAGTTTGTGTGTGAATGCGAGCGTGTATGGGTGTTTCCCAGTACTGTTTCAACTGGAATGGCATCGGCTTCGTAAAACTTATGTTGGAATAGTTGGCGATTCATTCTTCTGTGGCGAGCTTTGATAAATCAGAGACTAAGTCGAAGGAAAATTAACAAATTAATAATTTCTATTCTAAAAATTGTATAAATTTGAGTACAGTGCTTGTAACACAAATATATAATCACATGTCTGTAGGTCAATGCAAAGTATTTAAGAAACTGCTGATCTACGACCATCTCTATGGTGTACAGAGAATGGTCCAGAAAGAGAAAATGCAGAAATGTCTTGTTGATTGTCAGAGGAAAATGGTCAAACTGTTTTTCATAGACTCAAAGAACCACCAAAGTCTGCTGAAGAGTATCTCTGAACAGAGATTATTA